CCAGGTAAGCAGTTCCCTGCACTGCAGGTGCCACCGAGTGGACTCCGACTCACAGCGACCCGTGCCCAACAGAGCAAAACCCGGCCCCGGCCCGTGCCAGCCCCACGATCCCTGCTGGACCGGAGCCCGTCGCTGCAGCCACTGGGTCAGTCTGTCTCCGTGAGGGCCTTCCCCTTTCTCACTGACCCTGCACTTTGCCAACCGTGATACTCTCCGCGGAATGGTTCCTTCTGACAACATGACCAAAGTTGTCATTGTTATGTGCTGTCGAGTCAAACCCGACTCACAGCGACCCCTCCTTGGGTTTCCGAGGCGGTATCTCTATGGAAGTAGATTGCCCAACCTTCCTTCCCAGGAGTGGCTGGTGGGTTTGAACCACCAGCCTTCTACTTAGCAGTCAAGTGCCTTAGGCACTACGCTACCAGAGTATGGGAGATGAAGTCTGGTCATTCTTGCTTCCAAGGAGCATTGCGGCTGCATTTCCTCCAGGACAGATTGGTTCGTTCTTCTGGCGGGCCATGGTACTTTCAGCATTCCTCGCCGGCACCGCAACTCAAAAGCATTAACTTTTTGGTCTTACTTATTCATTGTCCAGCTTTCCCACGCATATGAGGAGGTTGGGAACACCGTGGCTCAGGCCAGGTGCACCTGTCTTCACTTTCGTGGGAGCCTAAGCAGCCCCTTGCTGAAGCCGCAGAACTTTAACAAGCTCACAGCCTGACTGGAGCAGACATTAAGTATGATGACGGACCTGCTACTTTCCTGCCTTCCCGCCCTTTTAAGTAAATGGCACAGCTGACCTCTTCCCGGACGCTGATTTCTTCTGCTTGTTTTCTTGCTTATACATCCTTTTGAGTATGACCTTTTCCCATGGCTGGTTTAGCCCAGAACTGCGGTTTATGGTCCAAGATGACGCCGAGGAGAGAACCATCGGGTCTGGAGCAACCAAGGTAAGGAGGAAGGAAAGCATCCCTGGGCGTCCGAGGGCTCTTCAGCCCCTCGCCATCGCTGTGTGATCACGCCGACCCCGTGCTGAGGGACACAGCCTCTTAGGGCCCCTCGCCATCGCTGTGTGATCACGCCGACCCCGTGCTGAGGGACACAGCTCTTTTAGGGAAGCCAGTCCGTCTGTCTCCTTGGGTTTGGATACTCTATGCATCTTTTGCTTTTCCACTCCAACCTGTTGTGGTGATTGGCTTTACTCGCGACAGGTGGTAAGAACCTCATTGTTCCTGTGTCACTTTCAGCCAGAAAAGTTGCATTATCAGCATATCACAGGTGGTTAATGAGTCTTTCTCCTGATGCCACGTTCTTCTTCATATAGTCCAGCTTCTCACATTATTTGCTCAGCATACAGATGGAATACGTATGGTGAAAGGATACAACCCTGTTGCACTCCTTTCCTGATTTTAAACCATGTCTCCTTGTTCTGTTTGAATGACAGCCTCTTAGTCTATGTACAGGTTCCTCATGAGCACAATTAAGTGTTCCGGAATTCCTATTATCCTCAATGTTATCCACAATTTGTTATGATCCACACAGTTGAATGCTTTTGCTTAGTCAATAAAACACAAAGATCTTTGGTATTCCTTCTTTTCAGCCAAGATCCATCTGACATCAGCAATGATATCTCTCATTCCACGTCCTCTTCTGAATCCAGCTTGCGTTTCTGGAAATTCTGTGTCAATATACTCCTGCAACCGTTTTTAAATTACTTTCAGCAAAATTTTATGTGTGTGATATTAATGATATTGCCCAATAATTTCCACATTCTGTGGGATCACCTTTCTTTGGAATGGGAACAAATATGAATGTCTTCCAGTCAATTGGCCAGGTAGCTGTCTTCCAAATTTCTTGGCATAAATTAGTAAGTGCCTAGTGCCTAAGGCACTTGACTGCTAACCAGAAGGCTGGC